TATAGCGATACGTAGGGGTGGCGCGTGGGCACTAGCGGCCGAAATTCAACTGCAAATTTAACGGGTTAAAAAAAAGGGGCGGGTTTAAAAAAAATACTACATTAAAGTATAAGTCTCGAGGATCATTTTGCGCTTTTGAACGTTTCGAAAGCTTTGGTAGGAGCTGAGATGTGAATTTTTAAAGTTGGCAACTTTTAGCCATTTTTCGACCTTAAATCGCCCCTAGCTCGAAAAGGAAGCGTTCTACGAAAAAATGTCAAGAGACAAAAAGTGTTTATTTTTGCCCAATTCACCTTCGAAAATTGTTTGCAGAGCGTTTTTTTGCAATATTTTTATTTTGCAACTTTTTTGTTAATAACAAATTACCTGCCACTCGGACACAAACATGTTATTTAGGTTTTCTGTTCGCTATAACTCAATGCATCGATTACAAAAGGTTTCATCCTGGCCTCTCCTCGTGGTCGGTGACCTTGATTTTCTAAGCATCTTTTTAGGGGTGGACCGTTCGTCTAACTGACTACGCCAATTAACAGGATTGAGGTTTCACGATGGATCTCAATTACCTTTTGTAGATTCTTTCAAGAAAACACAACACTTGTTGAATAGTTTTTATTCAGGTTGCAGACTACAGGTACCGAGCAGGCTGTCAACTAATAATCATGAGAGACTGTATAATAGATAATAAAATAAAAATATAATCGATATGGGGGATTTCTTATAACTCGCGTTCGGTTTCCCTCCATAGGCAACCCCGGTTGGTCGTACAAGGACGTCCTGCCTTATTACCTCAAATCGGAGAACTGCAATCTGGGTAAAGGATGTAACAGCAAATACCACGGAAATGGGGGGTATCTCAGCGTGGACTACCCCTATGCGACGGAATTAACCAGAGCCTTTCTCGAAGGAGGTAACATTAACAGTTTTTTTAGTACGACATGCCTATACTTATGTCCATTTCCATATGAAGTGTAAGTGTAATCGAAACAAAGACGGACAAACTAATTTAACTCCTTAAATTTTATTTTGTAACAGGTATCGAGATGGGAGAAAAAGTGGTGGACTACAACACCCCAAAATACATGGGTTTCAGTCAGATCCAGGCGAACCTAAGATTTGGACGTCGCCATAGCGCGAGCTCGGCCTTTCTGGACCCCATTTCGGACAGGACAAATCTCCACGTAGTCACCTCGGCCAGAGTCACAAGAGTTCTAATAAATCCCGAGACGAAAGTAGCGTACGGAGTGGAGTTCTTTAAAAAACTAGTAAAACACACAGTCAGAGCGAAGAAAGAGATCATCCTATCAGCAGGCACATTCCATTCTCCCCAGCTATTGATGCTCAGCGGCGTTGGACCGAAAAATCATATACGGGAACTGGGTAGGTATGCGCAAGCGTGTAAGTGAAATTGTCAGTTGTTTTCTTAATGCGAAGGTATATGAAATACTTACAATGAGAAAATTAATTGGCAGAAACGAGATTTATTAGAGATCATTTATTTGTTTTTCATATAAACCTATTGTTACTGCCTTTAGGGAGAGACTTCCCAAACAGGCTCCAAGTCGATAGTGATTATAAAGTCGTTGGAGGTGTAACAATTTTAAATTGAACAAAATTCTGCGACTCAATCAACAAACTTTGTTACCTAACGCCAATACTTGCAGTTCTAATTAAGGCATGGTTAATTAATCAGACAATTTAAATTGTGAGTATAATTTGTGAGGTCTTCCAAATCTCATTCGGGTAATAAACTACGCAATTTATCATCCACATTTTCACACCTTACAATATGGATGCACAGTAATGACCGATGCGGTTCTACTCCGCATGATGCGACGTCTGTTCGCGGTTGCGCATTAAGTAGTGTAAGCTGTATTAAATATACAGGGTGTCCGGTAAGTACCTCCTAATCTCTCGGGAGTGTATAGGGGAGGTCAAAATAAAACTAGTCCTTCCTATAATTTTTTTTCCTAATGTGCCCACTAACGGAGTTATGGGGGGTCAAAGGGGTACCTAGAAATTAACGTTTAGGGTTATAACTTTGAAACTACCCTGTATATTTTAATAAAATTTTCGTACGTTGTATTACACATGGAGCTCTACGATTTGATGCTAAAATCAACTTTTTGCTATTATCAGGTGTCCAGAAACGGACTGGCCCTATCACAATTTTTCTCAAAATTTTGACAGAAGTAATTTTATCAAACTGAAAATATTATTATTAGATACTCTGAAGGTTTTTCTTTAAAAATGGTACTCTTTATTTATTTCGAAAAAATGAACGGTTTGCGAGATAAATCGGTTTTGAAAAAAATTGGTAACAAATACAACAACAATTAAAATTTATTTTTTTACAATAAAATCATTCCCGCTAGTGCCAGCCTACAGATTCACCATAAACATTTACTGGTGGTGAATTAAGGGAATGAATAATGCCGTTTCTTGTAAAATCAACATCTATGACCAAAATACATCTACAAATTATTATTGCTCTTGTCTCCATGGAGTTCTTTTCTATTGTTTTCGTTGTTAGACCCTGTTGATTTTAAAGTACTTGTCAAAGGCGCGTGACAGAATAAAAATTCAATTTTATTGTGGTATTCGTTTTAAGCCGTTAGAAATAACATTTAAAAATGGAAGAATATTCCTGTGCAGAATATGCTGATATGCACCTAATTTATGGGGAAGCATTATGCAACTCCGTGGAGGCAAGAAGACTTTATGAGGAAAGGTTTCCGGGTCGACATTTGCCGAGTCCAAAAACTTTTGAAAGAGTTGATCGTAGTTTAAGAGAAACAGGTAAAAAAAAATAGTGAAAAACGTTAGTGAAACTAATTTCTTCCGAATCCTTTATTTAGGAAGCTTTTTGCCACGCCGTGGTGGAGCAGGAGCCCCGAGGAGAGTACGAGACCCTCATGTAGAGGAACAAATATTGGAAGACGTTGCTAATAATCCTTCAAATAGCATAAGGAAGCTTGCGGCGCAAAACAATGTTACAAAATGGGCTGTACATGAAACTCTGAAAGAACAATTGCTTTACCCGTACCACATCCAAAAAGTACATGCTATGTCTCCAGATGATTATCCAAAAAGACTTCAATACGCCAATTGGTTTTTACAGCATCATATTCGGAATCATAATTTTGGTACATCTATTTTGTTCACCGATGAAGCAGGTTTTACAAGAGACGGCATAATTAATTCGCATAATCTACATGTCTGGGATGAAGAAAACCCTCACGCTTTAGTTCAAACTCGCTACCAACAAAGGTTTATGGTGAATGTGTGGGCTGGCATTATCGGGAATCATTTGATTGGTCCATTTATTCTGGAGCAAAGACTTAATGGTGCTCTTTATTTGCAATTTTTAGAGGAAAATCTAAATATTTTGTTAGAAGAAGTGCCCCTTCAAATAAGAACTGAAATGTGGTACATGCATGACGGTGCACCACCCCACTTTGATCGTTTAGTACGTCAACATCTGACGAATGTTTTTGGTGATCGATGGATAGGTCGAGGCGGACCTGTATTATGGCCACCTAGGTCGCCCGACCTAAACCCATTAGACTTTTTTCTGTGGGGTCATTTAAAAAATAACGTTTATTCAACACCCGTAAATAGTAGAGAGGAACTTCTGCTGAGGCTAACACAGAACTGTGACCATCTCCGCAATAATCACGGAATATTATTTCAAGTGCACCGGGAAAACATTCGTAGGATTAGAAAGTGCATTGAAGTACGGGGTGCTCATTTTGAACATCTACCGAAGTAACATTTAGGTACCTTTGTTCATTGTTGAATGTTCTTTGTTGCATGTCTTGTAAGTAAGTTATTTTTCAAATGTTATTTTTAATTGGTCACTACTTGCTCATAAAGTATAGCCAACCCGTTCAAAGATTTCTGGACTTGATAAAGTTAAAGAAATTAAATGCATGAAATAATATGTAAAAAAAATAAATTTTAATTGTTGTATTTGTTACCAATTTTTTTCAAAACCGATTTATCTCGCAAACCGTTCATTTTTTCGAAATAAATAAAGAGTACCATTTTTAAAGAAAAACCTTCAGAGTATCTAATAATAATATTTTCAGTTTGATAAAATTACTTCTGTCAAAATTTTGAGAAAAATTGTGATAGGGCCAGTCCGTTTCTGGACACCTGATAGTAGCAAAAAGTTGATTTTAGCATCAAATCGTAGAGCTCCATGTGTAATACAACGTACGAAAATTTTATTAAAATATACAGGGTGGTTTCAAAATTATAACCCTAAACGTTAATTTCTAGGTACCCCTTTGACCCCCCGTAACTCCGTTAGGGGGCACATTAGGAAAAAAAAATATAAGAAGGACTAGTTTTATTTTGACCTCCCCTATACACTCCCGAGAGATTAGGAGGTACTTACCGGACAGCCTGTATATGTAGTTCCTTTCAATAAATATATTTTTATAACTGCTGGATGGGTACTAACATAATATTTTCCAAATAAATTTTTATATGTAGGCCCAATTTTTCGCAGGAATACCGCTTATACAAGATTTGCCAGTGGGACAAACCCTGTACGACCACATAGCCTATTTACCGTTAATCTTCAGGATAAACGAAACAATGATACCGTCAACGCAGGCGCTGGAGCCCATAGAGAGTCTCAAATGGCTCATCAACGGCACGGGAGTTTTATCATCTTTGGGCGGCGTGGAGGCCTTGGCTTACATAAAAACCGACGCGTCGAAGGAGGTGGAGGATTACCCTGACATAGAACTAATTTTAGCTAGTAAGTTGCACGTAATTCGGTTGCATCTGGTTCATTTATACAAAGTCCGTTTAGTTTTAATCATTACCTACAAACTTACCTAGACGACAAAGAACAAACCGACGTTTTACCAGTTTATTCAGTTTAAACGAGTATATTGTGGTATAACCAAGAAAATTTTAATCAATAAAAATCACCCAAAAATTCTACTACAAGATGCAAATTTACAATGCACTTCCTTAGTCTTAGTCACAAATCTTAGACCTGCCCTTGTTGTCTCTATGCGGATGTTACAAATCTATTTATATTAGCGATCGCTACTATGTCATTCAGAAATGAAGTAAAAATAAATTTTAGGCATAGGGTCTCTTCAGTACGACTTCGGCCTCATATCCAGGCCGGAGCTCCGCATAAGGCAAGACGTCTACGACGACTATTTCAGGCCCCTGGAAAACAAGCCGTGCTACTCAATACTCACGATGCTGCTCCATCCGAAGTCCAAGGGACACCTGAAATTGAAATCTCACGACCCGTTCGACCCGCCGCTGCTCTACGGCAACTATTTCTCGGATTCGGAGAACCACGACATGAAAACCATCCTCAGCGCCGTCAGGTACAGCCAGAGGCTGTCGCGGACCAAAGCCTTCCAAAAATACGGAGCCACCATGTACGACAAACCCGTACCCGGTAAGTATGAGAATAATTCTTAAAATTCTGAGTTTATAATAATTATTATCCATCACTTTGCATAAAATTCAATATTAATTAGCGTCATTTGGAGTAATTTCAGGAAAGCTACCTTTCAAGAAGCCTTCATTAGTTGTCGGTCGGTTATAATAAACTGAATTCTACCTACAGGTATTTTATGCACGCGTTAACAAGATATAACGAGCGTTCAAATAAAAACGTGGTCAAGTTGGTTCTGAAAATTTGGACGTAGGGCGTAGCGTATAGCAAATGAACTTAAACGTCATCTGTCAAAGCGCTATATCGCCGCTATCAATTTGAATATTTTCGTTTTAAAAAGCGTTTAAAATGGTGTTTTCTCAAGAACAAAAAGTGTTTATCATAGAGTCCTACTTTAGAAATGGACGCAAGATTGATGGAATATGGAAGTATTCTATTGAGGAATGTTTCATAGAATTTCAAAATCAATTTCCCGGCGTTGTTGAGTACAAAATTTTTCAAAGTGCAGTTCAGCGTTGTGTTAATGTTTTTCGTGAAACGGGCAGTGTAACAAGAAAAGAAGGAAGCGGCCGACCTAAAAAGCGGACTGAAGAATTAAAAGAAAATGTCCAACAAATAATGGAAAATGCGCCAAGAACTTCTGTACGTGTTTTATCACAAATGGTGGGAGTATCAGTCGGTACCTGCCACACAGTGTTAAAAAAAGATTTGCGTTTGTTCTCCTATCGTTTAACTTGTCAGCAAGAACTTCATGAAGTTGATTTTCCGCGACGGGCTGTATTTTGTGAATGGTTTTTAAACAACTACGGTGAACTTCATAATATCACCTTTTTTTCTGATGAAGCCTGGTTTCATTTAAGTGGTTACGTAAACTCACAGAATATGAGAATGTGGTCTTCTGAAAAACCAGATAACTTTTTTGTCGAGGGCCCTCTACACGCTCAAAAAATTGGAGTTTGGTGTGCTCTCAATCGAAGGAGGATTTATGGACCTATTTTTTTTAATGGTACTCTTACTGCGCAAAGGTATAGAGAAGAAATTATCGCTCCTTTTGTTAACCAGCTGGAAGAAAACGAAATTACAAACTTTTACTTTCAACAAGATGGCGCAAGGGCACATACGGCAGGCGAGACGATGAATATGTTGAGGGAAGTTTTCCAAAATCGACTAATAAGTCTCAATGCTGAACATGAATTTCCACCGAGGTCATGTGATATTACGCCGTGTGATTTCTTTTTGTGGCCTTACCTTAAAAACACTATTTTTGAACTGCCTATTCCTGATTTAAACCATCTGCAGGCTCGACTTATAGACAAGATTCGTGAAATTAACAATACCCCGAGCATCTTAGAAAATGTCTTTAATTCTTTGAGGAACAGGTGTGAAAAGTGCTTGGAACAAGGAGGGGGACACTTTCAGCAGCTGCTTTAATTTATTGTTATAACAAGGAGGGGGACACTTTCCGCAGCTCCTTTAATTGTTTGTTATTGTTATCACGATTATTCTTTAAAATAAAGTTATATAGTCATTAACGTTATTGAAACTGACAGCTGCTATACAGCTCGTTGAGAAATGAGGTTAAGTTGGTCGCTATAAGCTACTCCCTACGTCCAATGTGTCAGAGCCAACTTCGACCACGTTTTTATTTGAACGCTCGCTACATGGATATCCTTATAGACCAAGGCGGATCTGTTTTGAGGTGAATGTGAGAGGGGGCAGGCAAATTTTTTCTGGATTACCTTCAGTACAACTCACATAATAAAAGTGTAGATCCCTAGATCTGGGCGAGGCCCGGAATATTTTCAAAATTGCAAAAATGTTTAAAAAATTTAAAAAATACGTATTTTATCCGAGTTTTTTATTTATATTTTGGAACCTATACATTTTGGAAGAATATTGAAGAGGAGAAAAAAAAGTTTTAGAATTGAATTTTGCACAATTCACTGTAAGTTAAAAATGTTTAAATTTATTACCGATGTTGCAAACTAAAATAATTGATGAAAAAAAGGCAAAATAATCAAGTTTTTGGGATAATTTTTTTAAAATATTTTAATTGCTCCGATGGCATTCTAATTTTGATAAAAAAAAATTATAGTATAATAAAACAACACGCGAAATTTCATTAAAATCGGTTGGATAGTTTTCGCAAAATAATTTTTTGAAAAATTTTTTTCGAATTTTCAAAATATTGCACAGCCTCAAATAAAGCATCTAGATACTTGAAAATTTTTTCGCATAGAAAAGACCGCTCAACCATTCAAATGGTTTTTGAAAAATTTAAATCTGTTGATTAGGACGGCCACAGTAAATTTTTAAAGTTAACACTTTTTTTTATTTTTAAACAATTAGATTACATTCATCAATTTCCAATTTAGTTTTCTTTTAAATTATAATTTTAAAATCCTATTTTTTCTTAATTTTCTCTGTATTTAACAAAAAAATAATTTCCACAATTTTTTTAAATTTGTTTAAACAAAAATTATTTAACAAATTTTTTCACTGAAAATATGCAATAGCATAGGGTAAAATATACAGTATATTTAATGCATAAATAATAAACTTTGTTTATAACAAAATATGTGCAAATTAGACAGTTGGTATTATGCTATTCGAACTCCTTGGCTGGCGAGACATCGGATTAAAAAAAAAAGATCGAAATTGGTCCATTAGAAGCCCAGATAATGCAATTTTTTTCGTACCTACGCATTTTGAACCTCCGAATTCAGTCTCGGAGCGAAAGCCCTCTCCCCCACTTTTCGTGTTTTAAGTCACTTCTCGCGCGTGCGAGCGACAGCTTTTCCGCTGATTTATCTATGTTGCCGATAATTTATGGGTATGAAAATTTTGTCCAGCTTATAGCTGTTTTACATTGACAATTTATTGATCAATTAATTGATGAAGTCGCTTCATCGAGAAATTGGATGCACCAAATCTGCTGTCAAATAAGTTCTTGACGAATTAGAGCATGTTCTAATTTTCGTCAATTTCTTCGTGAAGTTCAGAAGTACCAACCCAACAAATTTCCAGCCTCAGATCAGTAATGTGGTTATGCTATTAGAATATGTATATAATTGTGTGGCGTCGTACTAGTTTTGCATTGTTTTTACTGATTTTTTACTAACGATAACTAATATTTATATAATATGTGTCAGAACGGTACCGCTGTTGTATCACTACAATTATGAGTGGAAAGGTGACATTTTTGAAATTTATTTGCTTCTTTGATTCGTTGGTAGAACTGATTCATGCGTCAAAAAACTTGACAAAGTCTGTAGCAGTGTAAAACCACACTGTTTACCAATAAATTCGTGAATTAATTCATGAAGAACTTCGTCAATTTATTCATGAATAAACTGTCAATGTAAAACAGCTATTATAACTCGGAAAAACGAAGCCACTGGGTCAAAGATTATTGCTAAATTGTTTTTAAATTAACGGTAAATGCCGATAAACTTTGACCGCTTATATCTCGAGAACCAATAAACGGAATTTAGCTTTTTCTTTTAAAAGAAGCGTCTTTCCGAGTACTTTAAAATCATAATGTTTGAAAAAAACTAAATTGCAAATTGATAAATGTAATCTAATTGTTTAAAAATAAAAAAAAGAGTGTTAACTTTAAAAATTTATTGTGGTCGTCCTAATCAACCGATTTCAATTTTTCAAAAACCATTTGAAAGGCTAAGCGGTATTTTCTATGTGAAAAAATGTTCAAGTATACAGATGCTTTATTTGAGGCTGTGCAACATTTTGAAAATTCGAAAATTTTTTTAAAAAAATTATTTTACGAAAACTATCCAACGGATTTTAATGAAATTTCGTGTGTTGTTTTATTATACTCTAAAGTTTTTTTTTATCAAAATTAGAATGCCTCGGATCAATTAAAATATTTCTAAAAAATTATTCAAAAAACTGGATTATTTTGCCTTTTTTTCGTCAATTATTTCTATTTTGCAACATCGGTAATAAATTTAAACATTTTTAACCAACAGTATATTGTGCAAAATTCAATTTTAACATTTTTTTTCCTCTTCGATATTCTTCCAAAATGCATAGGTTCCAAGATATAAGTAAAAAACTCAGATAAAATTGGTATTTTTAAAATTTTTTAAACATTTTTGCAACAATCCCGACCTCGCCCAGATCTAGGGACGTACACTTTTATTATGTGAGTTGTACTGGAGGCATTCCAGCAAAACTTAGCTTGCCCCCTACAAAGAGAATAAATTAGTTTATTCTCTTTGCACCCTCTTATATCCAAGTAGTGGGATATTTCGACAGATCCGCCCTGGTCTATTAAGTTTAATGAAAACTTAGTTCTTTAAATTCGATGAAAATATCAATTTTTTAACAAATATTAAAGAATTAAGCTGGTTAGTCAATCAGACGCTGACAGATTACATAAGCATTATATAACCAACTTGGAAGTAAATACCTGCGTTATAACTTTATTAATTTTCCTAATTTTCTGAATAACACGTCTCATTTGTAAAGTTATTTCAGAATTAAATAAATTCAGATATTGCAAGACTGAATAATTTAATGTTGAATCTAAGTAGTTTCTCCTAACAGGATATTTACTTTTGCATTTATACAGTGGAATATTTTCTGGCGAAGCCATGTTACGAACAACATCTAATGTCTGCTTTATTTATGTCGTGTGCAAGTTCTTGTTTTTTTTTTAGTAATTTCATTTATGTACACATAATACTTTTATCTTTGTGTTCTTTGTTTGTTTATTCTGACTTGCCATAAATGTATTATTGTATACCAAATGGTCAAATAAAGCTGTATATCTAAATACAGGAAAATATAAAATTTACCACATGGACTTTATAGGTTGTGAGAACCACGTGTTCGACTCGGATCCCTACTGGGAGTGCGCCCTAAAAACCATGACGACGACCCTCCACCACCAAGTTTCCACGTGCAAAATGGGTCCGCCCAACGATACGGAAGCCGTGGTGGACAACAGGCTGAGGGTGTACGGCGTGAGGAGCCTGAGGGTGGTGGACACCAGCGTCATCCCCGTCACGTTGTCCGCGCACACCAGCGCCCCCGGTATGATGATCGGGGAGAAGGCCTCGGACATCATAAAACAAGACTGGGGCTTATCCGACTGATGTTGGTAATGGTCTCTCAAAAAAAAAAAATAGAAAATATTGCAGAAAAGTGACAATTTCTATTTACTAATCGACCTGTTTTAGCGATTTTTTAAAATCTGAACTGGAAAAAAATATGAATTTTGTTCCATCGTTTTGGAACACGTTATTATATATAATATAATACATGTATTCTTTCGTTCTAAGCAAAGTGAATATACTGAACTGAATAAACAGAATGTGATTAAACTGAAAATTATTTTCTTATTCACTTCACAAACACGGAAGAACAGTTTTTTCGAGTTCGCCGAGAATGTTTACTTTTTGAGGTTATACTTTGTTTCCATTGTTTTTTTTTCAAATTGCAACCGTTTCAAGTGCAAGTTTCAAGTTTCAATAAAAAGACAAATTTTGGAAATATTTTTTGATAATGCATCATATTCCAATACCAGTAGTAGTAGCAGCAGCAGCAGCAGCAGTTTGAGCAGCGTAATATAGACAGTAACGTAGAATTAAATCTGCTAAAAAAACATGTAAAAAATTAAAGTTACTTTGAATTGAAGTAACTTATTCTGAGGAAGATTATAGAAAACATTTTCGTATGAAATGCGATTCCGTATTAAAATTGTACAAGTTACTAAATTGGAGAAAAATTATGTGGGTATGGTTAGCCCGAAATTAGTAAATAAAAAGTAGTTCATACAACTACATTATTTGGCAAATAGTAGCTTTAGAGAAGTTGCTGATAAATTTAATATAAGTGAAAGTGCTTGTCACAAATCGGTATTGACAATTGCAGCGGCAAAAATTACATAAAACTTCCACGAAGAGAAGTTTCATATTTCCTTGATTTTTGCGAGGCAGGGTGGATTACCATCTTCTAGCTTTCTCATAACTCACGCATAGTCTATATAACAAACTAACTTTCGGTGTCATATAGTTCTACATCTTCCATTTTTATTGCAATAATAAAATCATGTACTTATTTCCCATATTATATTTATCATTATGACTGGCAAAAACAATAAAACTAAAATGTCAATTTTAAAAAGTTAGGTTATAGCAAACTGATTTGATTCAAGTGATTGAACAAAATTTATGTACTTGAGGGGCAAGGGGAATTCACATTTCGATCACTTTTTGAGTTGGAGTGCGGGGGAACTGATTGTAAACGAAAAAACAACAAATAGACAAGGCGAAATCGGCGGCTTCGTATGAAAAAATTTGTGGATTCGATTTTTTTGCATAATCACCTCCGTGAGATGTCCCTGAATGGGGATCAAAATGTTACCGGCCGGTAACCTGGTCACAATTTTTTTAAACTAATTTTTTTTAAACAAATCGCAAAAACAACTTGTTTTGCTCCGGAAAAAGTTTCATCAGGTATTTCGGGGTATTTTAAACAAAATAGTTCCTATGCACTATGGTCTTAAAATCAACGGTTTCTGAGTTATAAACAATTTAATGTACGAAAAAATGCAAAAACAGCCATTTTCCAGATTCAAGAACAATAACAAAAAATCAAGTTTTTGATGTTACTAAAGTTTAAAAGTAATCTTTAAACATCCCTTGACATTATACCGAGGAGTTATTTGGCGTAATTACATTGCAATGCGTATTATTTTACCTATTAACAATATACATTTTGACTTGCGAGCCGCTCCGCTCGGGCACTCCACTCTGCGTCGACCTCGTGTATATATTCATCACCTCACTTTTTGATACATTTTAGCAGTGCTGAATTTTTATTTATTAAAATTATTTTTTGTTTATTGATATTATAAATTTCTAAACAGTAACAATAATAATAATAACAATAATAATATATCTACTTTACTTAAATAATATCTAATTTTGAATTTGCGAATATCGCAATGAAATTCCCGCACCGCTATAGGTTAAATATTTTTTCTCGAACGTGTGGAATGGGTATAAACTCAGGAAATATTCCATGTACTTTTAATGTCTTTAAACTACACGTATTAAGAGCATAATTGCAGACGTATATTTGGAAAAATTCAATATACTCTAAATACCAGACGTTGAATATCGAAAATTTCGGTTACAAACTAGATGAAAATGGTGCAGTATTACCCATATCTATGCGAAATAATACCTGATCGATTGATGTAAATGTTTGAAAACATGTAAAACTAAAGCATGTACCTAGTTGTAGAAAAAATAATGTTACTTGTGTTACTTTATGTGGTTGTAATGCAGACGAATGTGAAAATTTTATCCTTAAATAAATATATTTATAATATTTATAAGATTAAGACATTTTACTCTTTATTTTTTATTTATTTTAAAATATATGTCGAGATATATGAAAAAGTGAGGCGCTGACGGGGTCGGCGCACAGTAGAGTGCCCGAGCGGCGCGGCTCGCAAGTCAAAATGTATATTGTTAATAGGTAAAATAATACGCATTGCAATGTAATTACGCCAAATAACTTTAAAGATTACTTTTAAATTTTAGTAACATCAAAAACTTGATTTTTTGTTATTGTTTTTGACACTTGAAAATGACCGTTTTTGCATTTTTTCGTACTTTAAATTGTTTATAACTCGGAAACCGTTGATTTTAGGAGCATAGTGCATAGGAACTATTTTGTTTAGAATACCCCAAAATACCTAAATAAACTTTTTCCGGAGCAAAACAAGTTATTTTTGCAATTTGTTTAAAAAAAAATAGTTTAAAAAATTGTGACCAGGTTACCGGCCGGTAACATTTTGATCCCCATTCAGGGACATCTCACGGAGGTGATTATGCAAAAAAATCGAATCCACTAATTTTTTTATACGAAGCCGCCGATTTCGCCTTGTCTAAAACTATTACGTCAAATCACTTGGTGTTACTAAATTCAGTTCAATCAGAACGAAAGAATACACATAATAATCGTCTCGTGGAAAAACAATGTAAAGTGTGTGATTTAATATTTTTATAAAATATTAGATGTGTTTCCAAAAAGAATCAAAATGTACGAATGTAAAAACAATTGAACATCTATTTAAAAAGATATTCTGTATTTTATATTTCATTAACATACATATACATATTTTTATCTTTCACTACTCTGTAAGTATTTGGTCACTCTCTAATTTGTGCTTGAAGTTGTGCAACCGTTCCACATTCATTGTTCGGATATACCTAAATACATAATCAAAAAAAATGTGGTTCGTAACAGTAAATGTTATTATAATGGTACGCGCCTTACACATACCGTCATCGATCCAAATTTCATATCGTTACGTAAACTTCACCAAACTAACGAGTAATGAAGGAGAGTCGGTATTATTATTCCCTAAACTGATTTGAAACCGACAAACTGAAACGAAAGCATCGACGTCTCGTCAGAATTCTTAATGCAGCGACCGTTTTCAGAAAATACTAATAAGTACAAGGTCAGGGATTGCGTTTTCAGACGGCTCCGGAAAATACCCGGTTTAAAAAAATGTGTTGGCGTTCTGTACCAACAGCTGGAGATGTGTAATTTTTATCACACTGAAGTAGCTGGATGCCGTTTCGTTAAAATTGCGATCATTTGTACAAAATATGTTCATTATCATTTATTTCCACAAAAAAAAATGTACTTCTTTTACTACAGTAAAATTGAATAATTTTTTATCCTGCTGAATTCTACAATTCACATCTGTATCTGTGTTTGTAGTTAGAAGTAATACACCTGTATGTACTTGCATACATTATGAAAATATTTTCTAAAATGTATTTTCTCAATATTGAGACAGATCTGACCTTGACACATGCAGTAACTATTCTTTGTTACACCAATGGGTGTTGTTGGTATTCACCCTGATTTTGTGTATTTTAGATTATCTGCAAATTGTGATCACGAAGTGATTCGTGTGGAATCGTTCAAATACGATTTAGTTCCACGCATAAGTAGCGTACTGGAGATATGTGGTACTGGTATGATACACTTCTGCGAATAAATGTTCTTTATAACACAAAGGTTTAAAAGGCAATTGCATTTATGAAATTATAATTTGATATATGTATGTATGTAGACCTGTGTATGGGTATTGGTAAATAAATATGGGAACAAGTTTTTCAAATATTTCAATGCCGAGTTGCTGCGTCAGCGACCGAACCTGGTACATACTGACAACCTCTTGGTTCATCAATTGAGATCGGAGAGATGTAGTTAGTCGTATTTTCTATATAAATTTATAGTCAATGAATGATAATGTTTAGTACAATTTCCGCGTCTACTTTACATAAAAGAATTGGTAAGGTCTGATAAAGTACGACAAACTTGATTAAGTTAATATGAGTTTTTTTGGTCCACGTAAATGGTTCGTTCCGAAAGTAACTTTTATAAAAATAAAATTTGCATGTTATACTTAATAAAAATATAAACACCAAACGGAAAAAAAATAGTTCGCAGATTTATAAGCCTAGCAAAAGTTTAATATTTAAAACATATGCCATTAAAGGGATGGGACATCTAACATTGCTCTTCCTTAACGGATAGTCGTCATAATTAAGATCCGTTTTTTATCTAGCTGGGTAAAAACAGATTCTTTGAGTAGGTACAGCCGAGCCCAAGGCGACGGCGACGCAAGGAAAACGCTTCGAGACGCACAGAGTGAAAGGTGAGGTTCATAATATGATATGGCTTGGTGAGATTTGGCGGGATATTTTTTTAGTAATTTTCGTCAGTTAATTGGAATCGCGCTCGGTTATAAAAGTGTGGTGCGGATGGTTTGGATTTAATTTCTGTTAAGTGCAGTACAAAATTTTTCAGTAGGTACCTATGTAATCTGCTACCTAATTTCTCACAAAAAAAAATAAAATTAATTTCACCAGTAAGTAATTGTTTTAAAGTAACTATGTATATTTCAGATGCATCGGATAATATTTTGATTATGAATCCAGCAATATATGACCTACTTTTGACATTTTATAAGTCTAATATTCAACAAAATAAACAACATAATATGTGTAGGTACATTTTTTACATTCCAATATCATAAAGACAAAGAAGTAGCTCGCAATAAAAGGAGAACGATGGATTACCCTCTACCTAAGTAATTTAT